TTTTTCAGATAATTTACTATTGGTGCCTAACCTGCTTCTGTTTTTGAAATTGCTGAATTAGTTAAGTAGTACTGGCAGTTGCTGTGGGAGTCTTTGAGGCTTCCTGTACATAAAATTGTGTCATTGGAAAAAAACAAGAATTTGACTTTCCCTTTTCCAATTTATATTCCTTTGATTTTCTTCTCTAATTGCTGTGGCCAGGACTTCTATTGTTATGTTGAATAAAAGTGGTGGAAATGGACATCCTTTTCATGATCCAAATCATGAAAAGTCTTCAGCTTTCCCCATTATGATGTCAGTTGTTCTGTTACACATGGTCTTTATTGTGCCAAAGTGCATCTTTCTATAGTTTGTTGAAAGTGTCACAAAGTAATGTTGCATTTATCAAATGGCTCTTCTGCATGTGAAATGATATGATGTTTAATCCTTAATTCTGTTGATGTGATTTATATTTATGGATTTGCATATGTTGAATCATTCTTGCATCTCTGGGATAAATCCCATATGATTATGACAAATAATTTTTAGCAGTTTTAAGAATTTTTCCTGGGGCTGGCGCTGTGGTGCAGTGGGTTAAAGCCCTGGCCTGAAGCGCCGGCATCCCATATGGGCGCCGGTTCTAGTCCTGGCTGCTCCTCTTCCAATCCAGCTCTCTGTTATGGCCTGGGAAAGCAGTGGAAGATGGCCCAAGTCCTTGGGCCCCTCACCCATGTGGGAGATCTGGAAGAACTCCTGGCTCCTGGCTTTGGATCAGCTCAGCTCCGGCCATTGAGGCCATCTTGGCAGTGAACCAGTGGATGGAAGGCCTCTCTCTCTGTCTCTGCCTCTCTCTGTAACTCTGTCTTTCAAAATAATTAAAATAAATCTTTAAAATATTTTTTACTTAATAATGTACATATTTATAGTCTACATTGTGATATTGCAATACATATATGCAATGTATACTGCTCAAATCAGGGGAATTACCATTTCCCTTTTTTTGGGTTGATCTTTTTAAAAAATTTAAATTTGTTATTTTTAACAGATTTAGTGTAATTTGTAGATACAGTTTTAACATAAGTATATCTATTTCCTCCAAAATAAATTTTTCATATTCAGTTTTCTAATATTGTATTGAGAGATCTTTGCATCTGTATTCATCGAGGAATATATGAAGTATATGGTAGCTTTCTTTTTTGTTGTGTCTTTATATGTACTTGGTATCAAGGTAGTGCTGACCTCAGAATGAGTTGGAATAATTCCTTGCTCTTTAGTTTTTGAAATGATTTAAGAAATATTTGTATTAATTCTCCTTTAAATGTGTGGTAGAATTCAATAATTAATTCATCTGATCTGGGGTTTTATTTTTTAAATAATTTACTAACATTAAATTTTCAGGGTCAGAAGCATACACAAAATTCCAAGACAATTCTCATCAACTCATGTTAGTGAGATACTGATACAGAGAGAACAGATTCAATGAAGTTTGCAGTTACAATTCTTTATATTTTATTTTCAATTTTTATTAGAACAGATTTCATATAGTTCATAAATACAGTTCCAAGAATATAATGGTACTTCCTTTCTCTGCCTTAACTTTTTCACTTTGCAACAATATATTCTTAGCTTAATATACAGTAATAGGTTTTATGCCCCACTAAATGAAAAGTTCAACAAGACGAGCTGTGAACAATAATCAAATTCCAATATGTCAATTTCACACACATATATTTTTGTATTCTATATATTAGCTACCACAAATCAGATGAAACATGTGATAGTTGTATTTTTGGGTATACCTTATTTCATTAAGTAAAATGACCTCCAAGTTGTATCTATTTTATTGCAAAAGTCAGAATTTCATTTTTTAATGGCTGAGTAGTATTACATCATGTATATAAGCCACATTTTCTTTATCCAGTCACTGGCTGAAGAACATTTTAGGTTGATTCCATATCTCAGCTATTATGAACTGAGCTGCTATAAATAAGGGGTATAGACAGATAACTTTTTCATATGCTGATTTCATTTCCTTGGGTATATTCCCAGATTGGGATAGCTGGGTCATTTATGGTGGATCTATTTTTAGTTTTCTGAGGAATCTCTCTACTCTGGTTCATAATGGCTGCTGCAGTTTACATTCCCACCAAGAATATATTAGGTCACCATTTTCTCCACATCCTCTCAAGTACTGTTTTTTAATTTTGGGGTGATAGCCATTCTTGATGTGCATTTCCCTCATGGATAATGATCCTGAACATTTGTTCACATGCCTGTTGGCCATTTATATTTCATCCTTCGAAAAATGTATGTTCATGTCCTTTGCCCATTACTTAATTAGATTGTATGTTTTGTTGTTGTTGAGTTTCTTGAGCTCTTTATATATTCTGGATATTAATGCTTTATCACATGATTAAGTTGCAAATATTTTCTCCCATTCTGTCAGTTGCCTCTTTGATTTCTTATTTCTTTTGGTATCCAGAAGCTTCTTAGCTTGATTTAATCTCATTTGTCTATTTTTGCTTTTACTGCTTGTGCTTGGTATCTTATCTGAGAAGTTTTCACCTTGGCCTGTGTCTTGCAGCATTTCGCTTCTTTTGCTCTAGTAATTTGATGATTTCAGTAGATCCTTGATCCATTGTGAATTGATTTTTGTATAGAGTGTAAGGTATGGGCCTTGTTTCATACTTCTGCCTATAGAGATACAATTTTCCCAACACCATTGGATGAAGAGACAATCTCTTGTGCAGGGAATCCTTTTAGCACATTTGTCCAAGATGAGTTGGTTGCAGATGCGTAGATTAATTTCTGGGTTTCTTAATTCTGTTCCATTGGTGTGCATGCTTATTTTTGGGTCTGTATCAGACTGTTTCAATTATAAAGGCCCTATAGTAAACTTGAAATATGGAATTGTGATGCCTCTGCCTTGGTTTTTATTAAGATTGTTTTGGCAGGGTATCTTGTGCTTCCATATGAATTTGGGGGTCATTTTTTCTAGATCTGATAAGAATGTTCTTTGTATATTTAGTAGAATTACATTGGATCATTAAATTGATTTCAGTACAACAGGCATTTTGATGTCAGTAATTCTTCCAATCCTTGAAAATAGGAGATTTTTCAATTTTTCTTTTGTGTGTGTGTTGTTCTACTCCTGAATGTTTTGTTATTTTCATTGTAGAAGTCTCTCACATCCTAGGTTAAATGTATCCCAAGGTATTTAATTGTTTTGTAGCTATTGTGAATGTGACTGATCTTGCATGTTTCTTTCTCAGCCTGAGTATTGTTACTATATAAAAATCCTATTGCTTTTTTTGTGTGTTGATTTTATATCCTGCAACATTGCCAAATTCTCTTATGAGTTCCCAAAATTTGTTAGAAGAGTCTTTCGGTTTTCCTATGTAAAGGATATTATCTACATCTGCTATAATTTGGCTTCCTCCTTTCCAATTTGCATAGGGAGAATTCTAAGAATATAGTGATACTTCCCTTCCTCTCTCTTTCTAATTTTTTGAGATACCATATTTTTAGTTTATATTAAGTTCAGACATTTAATGCTGCACTAAATAAACTGTTCAACAAGTAAAAGTAAAAAGACTATAGTTCAGGAATATACACAGGGCTATAAACAGTAATCAAATGAAAAGATGTCTATTTCATTCATATACAGTAACATTTAAAATAATCACAGATCATTAAAACTATAGTAATGTATCTAATATATATTAGCTGCCACAAATAAGAGAAAACATGGCATGATATTTTTCTTTTTGGGTCTGGTTTATTTCACTTAGCATAATGATCTTTGATAAGAAGCTCTTCATTATTTTAAGTGTTGCTACTCATTATTAATGTGCTTTCTTATTTTTGATGTACACTCATGGCCAGCTTTGTATGTCCAATTTTTGTTTCAATTTTTATAGGTTATCAAATTTGTTGCCATATAGATTTCATTATAATTTTTGTATTCTATAATTTTTTGTATTTCTGTGGTATGTAATAATGTTTATCTTTTCATCTCTGATCTTATTGTTTCTTCTTCATTTAGCTAAGGATTTGTCAATTTGGTTATCTTTTTATAGAACCTTGTATTTTTATAGTTTCCAAAGTTTTTCTGGTTATTGAGTTACAGTTTTATTACATTGTAGTCATTCAAACATATTTAATGATTTCTATATTCGAAATTTAAATACAATTATTTTGTGACCTACTATATTATCTGTTGTATAGAATATTATATGTGCTTTTCAGAACAACATATGCTCTGCAGCAGTTGGATGGAATGTTAGGACCAATTGATCTAGGCTGCAAGTTTAATCTGCTGTTTATTGAGTTTGTATCTGGATATTTGTCCATTTCTAAGGGTGGGGTGCTAAAACCGACTATCTGGTTATATTGGAGATTCTGCCTTATGTCTATTCATATTTTTTAATCTATTTGGGTGCTACAGTATTTGGTAGCATATATACTTATTATTGTCATTTCATTTTGCTAGACTGAGGCCTTTATCCGTGTAGAATGTCTCTTCTTACTATTTTTGATTTAAAATTGACTATCTGATAGAACTATAGATACTCATTCTTTCTTTCAGGTTCTAGTTTCATAGGATATATTTTTCAGTCACTGCATGATCCTAGAGGTGTAGTGAGATTTTATAAGCATCATTTATTAGGTTCTCTCTCTTCTTATTCATTTGATCATTACATGACTTAATTGAAGGTAATCATCGACAGGCAAGGTATTATCACTACCATTTTGATACTTGTTTTCTAGTTTTATTATAGATACCCTTTCTCTCTTTAATCTTCCTTTATGGCTAAGGGATTTTCTCTAGTGCTGTGCTTTGATTCCTTGCAGATTGTTTTCAGTAAGTGTATTACAGATTTGTGCTTTGTGGATACCCTGAAGTTTAATAAGTTACCTTGAAATGGGCAAGTTGGTAATATCTATAAATATAGGATAACAAGTAAAATGATAAATACAAATAAATTTACACTTATATTCCATTTATATGCCTCCCTGCACTTTGCATTTTTGAGGTCTTATTTTCCATTTTTCTACATCCCCTATCTCTTAACATTACTGCAGTTGCCATTATTTTAATTGCTTTGCATTTTAGTCTTCATACTAAGAATATGAATGATTTATACAAGTTTATTACACCATTGAATTTTGAATTTGTATGCCTACTCTTTTGTGTTTCCTACTTTCTTATATTGTGGTCTTACTTTGTAGCACCTCTTTGCTTAAAGAACTCTGTTTAACATTTCTTGTAAGTCTAGAGGTTAAAAATTTTCACGGATTTTGTTTGGGAATATCTTTATCTTTCTGTCATGTCTGGAGGACTGCTTTGCTGGGTACAACATTCTCTTGGCTGGCACGTTTTTTTATTTGGTTTTCTTTCAATACTATGAAAGTCTATTGCTACTCCCTCCTGGCCTTTAAGTTTTCTGCTAAGAAGTCAACATTTGGCTTAATTTTGATCCTTTATTTATTTCTTCTTGCAACTTTGAGAATCGTTTTATCTTTTATTTTGGAGAGCTCCATTATAATATGCCTTGGTTTAGACATGGTTGAGTTGAACATGGCTGATGACTCCTGACCTTCCTATATTTAAATAGTTATATTTTTCTCTTGGTTTGATAACCTTCCTTTTATTATGTCTTTAAATATGACTTTTATCCCTTTATTCATCCTTAAGTTCCTCTTGAAGCCTAATTATTCAGACATTTACTCTTTATATGCTCTCCTAAAGTCTCAATCTTCCTTCGCTGCTATCGACTTTATTTTTTCTCCAATTACTGTGGATTTTCAAAGAGCCTACCTTCTAGTTCATGGATTTTTTTCTTATATTTCATTGATTATGCTATTGATGCTTTTTATTACATTTTAAATTTCACATAATGTAATTTTCATGTGGAGAGTTTTAATTACTTTCATCTTTCTGTAAAATTTCTGTTAAAGTACTAGATTGTTTCTTTGTTCTCTTGAAATTTATTGAGTTTCCTTAAAGCAACTATCTTGAATTCTTCATCCAAGCATTGACTATGTCAGAGCTGAGATGGTTGGTTTCTGGTACCTTATTTTGCTCATTGCATGCCACTCTGAACTTGAGTTTATTTCAAATTTGCAGCTGATGTGCCACTCAGCATGAATAAAGAGGCGCTGAAACTGGTATTGTCTACCCCTACAAGCCTCTTTCTGGAACAAGGGTAGGCCCTGATGCCTAGTTTTTTGCCTGCCAATGATACAGTGCTATATCACACCAGTAGCTCACAGCCCACTGGGGGATCAAAATCCATACTGCTGTGACCTACTACAGAGATGGAATCACAGTTCAGGGCTGCTACAACTAGCCACAAGTGATGCTGGCTAGAATATAAGGCCAATGAACCAGGGCCACGGAACTCCAATTGGCACTGGGGCAAGTTCAGAGGCTCCAGTGGTTGACCGTGACCTGGGAACAATGTCCATTAGGATCTGCCCAATGTTATATTTTCCCAATATGGCTGATATTGAGCACAAAGCACAGCCCTGCCATTCTTTGCTATCTGCCCAAGGATGTTTAAAGGGTGATAGTCAACCTATTGGCCACCTCCACTGGTACTAAGATGGGAGACAGCTGGGTATCAAAATTGTCAGTAGACAGACCCGGTACAATCTGGAAGATGTGGGGGCTAAGGTTCACAACAGACCCACATTTAGCTGTCAGTGAGACAAAACATATCCAGCTTCCTGGTAAAGCAGGAAGCCTGACTGAGCCTTTAGCAAATGGAAGGTCTGTCTGTAGTCACTGGCATAGGAATGAGGATCATTCCTTTTGTGTGTTACCAGCCTAGCACTGAGTCCCAGTACAGAATCCTTTGGTTACTGTCTGTCTATTCAAGTTTAAAGTAGGGGTAATTAGGCTGACTCTTAGCCAGGTCACAACTGGTTCTCAGTTAGCAGGCCCCACCCAGTCTCAGGGGTGAAGGCCAGGCCATATGAGCCATGATATATGATGAAACAAGACCCTGTGGAGTAAGATCTCTGATGTTCAGCCACTCTATTGGTTGTCTGCAAGCACTGGCCTGGGACAGAGGCATTTGGTTTTTCTTTCTTACTTTCTTTTTTTTTTAAACCCAAATACCTCTTATTCAAGTATACAATCTTAGGAATTTCATAAATACAACTTTAGGAACATACTGTTGTTTTTATTCATTTGAAAGGCAGAGTTACAAACAGGAAGTGGCATAAAAAGAGAGAGACCACCCAGGTGATGGTTCACTCCTTGAATGGCCTCACTAGGCAGGGCTGGGCCAGGCTGAAGAGGAGATCCTGAAACTCCATCCCTGTCTTCCACATTGGTGCAGGGGCACAAGTGGTTGGGCTTTCTTCCACTGTACATTTGCAGGGACCTGGATCAGAAATGGAGGAAGGACTTGAACTGGTGCTCATATGGGATGCCGGCATTGCAGGTGGCAGTTTAACCTGACGTCAGGATTCTTTCAGACTCTTTTTTTTTTTTTTTTTTTGACAGGCAGAGTGGACAGTGAGAGAGAGAGACAGAGAGAAAGGTCTTCCTTTTGCCGTTGGTTCACCCTCCAATGTCCGCCGCGGCCGGCCAACGCACTGATCTGATGGCAGGAGCCAGGTGCTTCTCCTGGTCTCCCATGGGGTGCAGGGCCCAAGCACTTGGGCCATCCTCCACTGCACTCCCTGGCCACAGCAGAGAGCTGGCCTGGAAGAGGGGCAACCGGGACAGAATCTGGCGCCCCGACCGGGACTAGAACCTGGTGTGCCGGCACCGCAAGGTGGAGGATTATCCTAGTGAGCTGCGGCACCGGCCTTCTTTCAGACTCTTAATCACACAGCTGCAGTCTGGTCCTGAGCTCTAAGGCAAGATCCCTAGTTCATTCTTTGCTCTACTTCCATAGCTGTAGTCTTGCTTCTCCATCTGCAGGAAGGGGGAAAGGGATGGTAGAAGTAGTGTCAGCTGCCTGGCTAAAGACGGTCCAAGATGTCAATCAACTAAGGGTAAGGGCCATGGGTTCCTGTCAGGAACTAACAGGACTGGTACTAGATTAGAAGGCTAGTGTTTGGAATCAGTTCATCCCACCTTCTCAACACTGCAGAGAGTGAGACATCTCTGGCAATGCTGAGCTACCTGGGGCTGGTGGTGGAATGACATGAGGAACTCTTTCCTTCCTGCTTTTCTCAATTGATTTATTCTTATTATACAAACCCAAGGACCTTTGACCACTCACCTGGTTTCTTTAACTCTTGAATAGCTATTCATGAACCAAGTCATCTTTACAAATTAGTGCCTGTATGGGGAGATAGACACTCTGATGATTACTCAGTCACAATCTCTAAAATCAGATTTATTTCTGGTGTTAAAAAATTAAAGGAAATTTCATCTTGTTTAGACAGGTTTGGGATGGCAATCTGAGAGCAAAACTCCAAGTTTACAGTACTACTAAACTCCAAGTTCATATTACTACTTGGGTATATTTAGCACTATATATAATACTGTTATCACAAGTTTCAAATACAAAAGATATTGAATACTTGAAAATATGTTATCTGAAAACACAAGTTTATCTTGATTGCATTCTTTTTTCATTTGTTTGGATTTATAACCTGAATGCAAATTGATGTCCTCAACCCCTGTCCAGTTCTTCATCTTCAACTATGTTTCATCACTCACATACTCAGGTGGCATTTCACTGCTATCATGATTTTTCTACTGTTATAAATACATTACAAACAACTATTCTTAGCTCATCCTGCTAGCAATGTCTTCATGAAGCAACACTTTCCTAATGTAATGTGTTCTTGATGCCTGTATCTCTTATGATATCCTGAAATACCATACAGTATCTCTCATCAATTCAAACTAGTGAGTCTTTTATGTTTCTGTTTTGATTTGTCTTTAAATTGTTTTTTAAATTTATTTGAGAGGCAGAGCAACACTGAGAGTTTATATTCACTGATATGACAGGGTCTACACTGAAAGGAAGCTGGAATCAGAATCCAGAGCTGGAAATCAGACCTAGGCACTCTGATGTGGGATGTCAACATTGTAAGCACTAGACTACAGTTCTTGGTTGATTTTTGTTACTGAATTTGAAGTCTCTATATGCACCAGTCATTGCAGTAAGGGCTGAAAAGAATAAGGTCTCCATTCTTTTCATCAATAAAATATCTTATGTCCTTAGGTTAGAAGTTGCTTCCTAGCCTTATGCATTGTTTCCGGGCAATCTCTGTGCATTACATTTTTTGTTTTGTGATGAAATCAGTAACTTATCTCAGTGCCATGAGGTATGAACACCTATTCTCACTGCTCCTTAGTCCTTTGGTTAGCTAATGTAGCTGTGATTTAGGTCGTTCACGTCTTTTCCTGCCTTCTCACTGCATGGGGAATTTCTCTTCATAGAGACTGAGAGGAGTACAAGAGGAGCATGTGGAAACACAGAATGCTTTTTAAGATTTTGGCTTGAAGAGTACACTGTGACATCTGTCCACATTCCATTGGCCAAAGCAAATTACATAGCCAGACTTAAAAGAAATGGGCAAGAAGAGATACTTTATCCATTCTAGTGGGAAGTATATCAATTAAGTCTATTACAGAAAAAAATGAAGATTTGGTAACTGATAACATCTTTCACACTTTTTTTCATGAAGCAAACCCAAAGGTCATCTTGTATTGAAATAGATTTTCTTGTAAAACACATTCTGCTTTATAGTTTACATCAATTCACCCCAGAATCTTTGAGTATCTGTTTATCTGAGCTTTGTTTGATGTAAGATTTGATCTTTCCCTGTGTCTTCAATGACACATTAGGAACAAATTAAATCAGACTCTGTCAAATCTTCTTCTACTGTCATTAGTTTGAACCAGTGACCTCTCATGCTCTTTTGTTTTTTTAAAACTAGAGTTGAACTAGACCTCTTTTACAAGGATACAAAAATGATTTTCATGGTCTTATGTGTGGAAATCCATAACTCCTAATGCTATTAATAGTAAAGAAGCAACTTTTTAAACTGAGATAAGACTACAGAAGCTGAGATAATATCTAAGCTTATCTATTAAAAATTATTGAATCCAAATTATTATATACATTGGCTTGTATATATGGCATATTCATTGTACAGTGGCATATTCCTCAGTAATATAGTATATATAGAATACTTTTCATTGGCCAATCATTACTTTAATAATCAAGCAAGTAGAAAGTTTTTCTTCTTGCTAAAATATAGCCTGGGAAAATATAACTTATAATTCACTATAGTTATTAAAATGAAGCTCAATAAAATTATAATCTTAAAGTTTTCATTTCTGACTAGGAAGTGGTAGTAGAGAATACTCCAGTGTATTGACAATATTCTTTGCTTTAATATCAGTGTGATTACAAAGTTGTATAGATTTGCCAAAAGTCAGCAAATATATTTGAACGTTTTATTACTCAAATTTTACCTTTAAAAAATGTGTACAAACAATTGGTTAATAGTTTTGCTTTTGAAGTGTAATATAATATACTACCATCAAATATGCTACTTTGACATAAGGATTACTTTGAATTAAAGGCAACTTGATAAACAGCAGATGTAAGGGGGGCACTTTAATCTCCTCTGCTCTTCCTAAAAACAGAAGATAAAAATCCCCATATGACAGATGCCCTCCCATACCAAGAGAAAGTAAACATTCTTCAATGGTGAGTCAGAGGAGCAGGGAGAATTCTGCATAAACAGACCTTGTTCAAATAATTTTATCTTCCTTTGGAATCCTCACATAATTTAGACACTTTTTCATAAGTGCCTTTCTTTGCTCAACCTCACACAATGCATGTAGGTTTTGCTACTTCTTTGGGTCTTCATGTCCTTACTGGAACTCCTGTAATACATAAAATTTATGTAAGTTATTTATATAAACTGGTACACTTTTCTCCTCAGAATCTCTTTGTCAAGTTAATTCACAAGCCCAGCCAGGACCTTAGAAAGAGATGAACTTTTACCTAACCCCTCCCCCTACCAATATTCACAATGGCATGCTAATTCTGTAATTACTTTTTGTGGTATCAAATGGATTTTAGAAAATACATTGATATAATAAATACAAGGAAAGACCAGGAAAATGATGGTGAATGGTCCACTTACGAAAACATGACAATGATATACTGATAATGATGAGCCAGTTCAGAGCCCAGATCTTGGCTTCTGAAAACCATTCTCTACTAAACGATACAGTGCTCTAGGATAAATGATAGAAGAGAAATAGAGAAACATGATTCTTTGTTGAAACACCCTATTGTTGAATGATGTTAAAGTATTCAAATAACACATTAAACGAGCCAACCTTGAACATCAAATTAATCATATTAAGAGCTAAGCCCCATTGAACAAAAGAAGAATTCTTGGACTCATATAGATACGTTGTTTTCATTTGAATGCCACTCAAGAACTACAGAATACATTATACAGGTAAAAATTCAACAATGAATGTTAAAGTGATTAAGAGAACAACTGGGAAGATTAGCAACATTTCTATATCTCAAAGTATCTCTAAAAATTATGTAATAGTTATAAAGGGATATGCCTTAAACTTATGACTAGGGTCAGATACTGATTTTACAGGGGGAATTCTTGCAGACAACATTTAACCAGATAAGTACCTTAGTATCATTAATATTATGATAAATGAGTATTTCATACCTCTTATATGACACCTGCAGCAATGCAATATACCTTTTTTGGTGCCACTGTCCAAAAAAAAGTAGTAATTGCAGCTGCTCATATTGAGAAGTATCTATAGATGGCTGACGTGTATGAATTAGAGATATAGGTAGATCAAAAAGAAAGAAGAAATGCTGACAAATGATCCCATATTAAAATCATACATGAAAAAGAAATTCACAACATGATCCTACAGGAGATCCTCTATAGGAAAGCTACAAGTAAAATTAAGAGAATTATTAAGGCAATTGTCATTTCAATGTGAATTATGGATTAGACAATAATACAGTGACATTGTTAAATTGTCTATTTTTTAAAATTATACATTCATTATATAAGAAATTTTTTCTTCACGGATATAAACTGGGAAATTTACTAGTAAAAGAACCTACCTTCAATTTATACAAATAACATAATTTTTCATCTTGGCACAACTCATGGCTTAGGGCCTTGAAATAGGATCAGTCATATGATCTATATTTCCATCCTTTTTACTTCTGCAAATGTCAAGGAATGATCTGAATAAGGGATGGGATAGTGTGTGATTAATGGTTGTGTGTGGTAAGTCTCATCATACAGCCTCTAAACAAATCCTGAAAAATATTTGCTTCCAATTGTTTGTTACCTTCTTTAGAACATTTATTATGTTTATCAGGAGCCCTCCTGCTATATGAAAGGGAAATAGGAAAAGTCCTATTTAGCTATGTAATTTTTATCACAAAATGCTAACATTCAAAAGCTTGAGTGAGCATATTATATAATTACATAGTGTGAGTATAATACAAAATCTTTACAAACTTGAGTTACTGCTCACATATACACTGACCTTAGTCCAAAAATCAATCTACACTGCTATATGTGGATGATCAAATTGTTATCCTTGGAAATAAGATTTTCTTCATCATATATATATAATACACAACATCAAAACATCAACATTATTTAGCTTCTACATCCATCCAGGCTCTATTTGTAAAAGATATACACCAGATCTGATATCTCAGAACCAATTAACTTTTGATAGAAATCCTTGGGAGTATAAAGCTAAGTTTGTGCTGCTCCCCAAACCAGTGAAGTTTCCCATATACTTTCATGGTCCTTGGAGAGCCTCTAGCAAAAACTGTTGCCAAGTAGGAAGGAGTCACTGAAGGCTGGTGGCAGAGAACTCCAGATAAACCAGAAAAACAAAGATTTATGGAGTAACTGTGGAAAGAGAATATGTGGGTGTGAAAAATAAAATTGGCCCTTGGGATTACACTACAAATGTATGGCCATCAATTTTTCGAAAGAGGCGGCAGAGAATTGCCCGATGACATGAAAGCAAGTGCAGATTGAAAGGGGAGAACACTTCGGAGACCAGAATGGCTCCCAAAAAAAACTTCATCCTATTCATAATGTTTATATAGCTGTGGACCAGCAAGCTGGTTTCCAACAGCATTTTCCTTTTGTAACCAATGATGTATGTCATAGAGACATCAAATTCCACCCAGAATTGGGATGTGACTTTACAACCCAATGCTTAATATTATGGAGCAGAAAAAGTTGTTTGGCTTATATACCAAGAGTTAATTTTTCTCTGAAATAGTCATACCATCCAATAGTTTTAAAACACAGTGGCTGCAATGAAGAGAATCTATGCTGGAGTGAAAAAAAATCAGCCACTAAGCCAACCAAACTTTGTTCCACTTTGGACTCTACAATTCATGATTCCAAGATAAATAACATTTTGGGAGTTGATATCCTTATTTGCCAAGACAGAGTTAAATGGCATATTATCTCAAACTTTCAAATAATGTAGAAAAACGTGGGCACACACACACAGAGGGAGAGAATGAAAATGACGTTAGAGAGAAATATATAAAATTAGTGAATCCGAATAAGGAGTGTACCAGAGTGCCTTGTACTATACTTTTAGTGTTTGAGTTTAAAACTATGGCAAAAATTATTTAGGATCCTTATAACACTATTCATAACAGCCTAAATTAAATGGCCTCTTATAGATGAAAAATTACAAAATATAATGTGTAAATACAGGGATATTTTTCAGCCTTAAAAAAAAAAGAAATTCTGCTGTTTCTGACAAAAAAAAAAAAACATGGAGGAGATTATGCTAGATGAAATAAGCCAGACATAGAAAGACATGACTTCACCTATATGTGGGATTTAGAAGAATCAAACTCATACAGAATAGAATTTTGATTTCTCAGGAAGGGGGAAAAGTGAGAAGTTCTTGACCAAAGATGAGAGAATTAACCATGTACTACTCTGGTATATTGACTACTTTGTATTAAAGGCACTTGAAAAATGGCTGGTACAACAAGACCACCCTGACTTTTTGCTACAGTTAGTTTGGGTGCCTTCCAAAGACACATGTGTTAGAGAGCTGGTTTCCACAGTTATAGAGTTTAATGGAGTAATGCTAATGGATTAAGGTTAGAAATATAATCAAATTATTGTGTCTGGAGGTGGGATCTTTAAGAAGTCTTTAAATTGGTCTAGGTTGTTAGGGTATAGCCTTATGATTGAACTGTTTTAAATAAAGGCTTCATAATATTAAGTTGCTGTATCACAACTCTGTGGGATTCAGCAAATAAGTGACTCACTCTGCTTCTTCGGGTTTTCATTACTTTATGAGGGCTTCCATGCAAATGACATTTGTATTAAATATATAGACATGCTTTTCTCTTATGTCAATTTAATTTAAATTCTGCCAATACAAGTCCCTGCCTTATCCTTCACTACTACAAAGGTAATAAACTTTCAGTTGTACAAAGTGAAGAGGTCTTAAAATCTAATGTGTCATGGAAGTACAATTAACACTGTTTTGTACACTTAACTTTTTTCCTCTTTGAATTATTATTTATTTGAAAGAGAGAGAGAGATGAATCTTTCATGGGCTGGTTCACTCTCTAAATACTTAACAGCTAAGGTTAGTCCATGCTTAAGATAAGTACCAAAACCTCCATGAGGGTCTCTCATTGGGGAGACAGAAAACCAAGCAGCTGAGCCATCATATGTTGCCATCTGAGGCACATTATCAAGAAGCTAGAGGGGTAGAAGAGCAGCCAGAACAAGAACAGGCATTCCTACATGAGATGTGGCCATCCTAAATAGTCCTCTAACTTGAAATATTTCAAGAGTGGATCCACAAAAAGAAAATGATGGCTATGTAAGGCAACAGACATAATAGGCTGATTATGACAATCACTTTACAATGTATATGTGCATCAATATCTCAATACAGTTCCTAGTTGGGTCCCTATAACTCAAGTGGGGGGGGGATTGAGTTTCTGGCTAAAGCACAGTGAAATAGAAAGAATAAGTTCTATTGTTTTAGATCACAGTGGGATGGCTATAGCTCACAATAACCTATTCTATATTTATTTTTTCAACTTTTATTTAATAAATATAAATTTCCAGTACAACTTTTAGATTATAGTGGCTTTCCTCCCATAACCTCCCTCCCATCCACAACCATCCCATCTCCCACTCCCTCTTCCATCCCATTATTCATCAAGATTAATTTTAAATTATCTTTATATACAGAAGATCTACTTAGTATTCACTAAGTAAAGATTTCAACAGACTGCACCCACAAAGACACACAGAATATAAAGTAATGTTCGAGTAATAGTTTTACCATTAATTCACATAGTACAACATATTAAGGACAGAGATCCTACATGGAGAATAGGTGCACAATGATTCCCGTTGTTGATTTAACAATTGACACTCTTATTTTTGACATTAGAAATCACCTGAGGCTCCTGTCATGAGCTGCGAAGGCTATGGGTGCCTCTTGAGTTCACGAACTCGGATCTTATTTAGACAAGGACATAGTCAAAGCAGAAGTTCTCTCCTCCCTTCAGAGAAAGGTACCTCCTTCTTTGATGGCCCGTTCTTTCCGCTAGGATCTCACTCACAGAGAACTTTCACTTAGGTCTTTTTTTTTTTTTTTTTTTTTTTTTTTTTTTTTTTTGCCAGTGTCTTGGCTTCCCATGCCTGAAATACTCTCATGGGCTCTTCAACCAGATCCGAATACTTTAAGGGCTGATTCTGAGGCCTGAGTGCTGTTTAGGACATCTGCTATTCTATGAGTCTGCTTGTATCCCACTTCCCATGTTGGATCATTCTCTCATTTTTAATTCTATCAGTTAGTATTAGCAGACACTAGTGTTGTTTATGTGATCCCTTTGACACTTAATCCTATCATTATGATCACTTATGTACTTAAACTGATCACTGGGACTAGTGAGATGGCATTGGTACATGCCACCCCTGAATTAGAATCCCCTGGCACATTTCTAGCTCTACCATTAGGAGTAAGTCCGAGTGATCATGTGCCAAACTGTACATCTCCTCCCTCTCTTATTCCCACTGTTAGATTTAACAAGGGTCACTTTTCAGTTAAATTTAACGCCTAAGAATAAATGTTAATTAAAGAGTTCAACCAATGGTATTAAGTAGAACAAAAAAATACTAAAAGGGATAAAGTATTAAGTTGTCCCTCGACATTCAGGACAATGGCTGATCAAGTCATTGTTTCTCATAGTGTCCATTTCACTTCAACACGTTTCCTTTTTGGTGCTCAGTTAGTTGTCACCGATCATGGAGAACATCTGATATTTGTCCCAAATTTCACTCAGCATGATGTTTTCCAGATTCCTCCATTTTGTTCCAAATGACTGGATTTCATTGTTTTTGACTGCTGTATTCTATAGAGTACATGTCCCATAATTTCTTTATCCAGTTTTGTTGATGGGTATTTAGGTTGATTCCATGTGTTGGCTATTGTGAACTGAGCTGCAATAAACATGAAGGTGCAGACAGCTCTTTTCTTTGTCAATTTCATTTCCTTTGGGTAAATTCCAAGGAGTGGGATGGCTGGGTTTTAATGGTAGGGCCATATTCAACTTTCTGAGGAATCTCCAAACTGACTTCCATAGTGGCTTTACGAGTTTGCATTCCCACCAACAGTAGATTAGTGTCTACTTTTCCCCACATCCTCGCCAGCATCTGTTGTTGGTTGATTTCTCTATGTAAGCCATTCTAACTGGGGTGAGGTGAAACCTCATTGTGGTTTTGATTTGCATTTCCCTGAAGGCTAGTTATCCTGAACATCTTTTCATGTGTCTGTTGGTTGTTTGGATTTCCTCTTTTGAAAAATGACTATTGAGGTCCTTGGCCCATCTCTTAAGTGGGTTGTTTGTTTTGTGGTTGTGGAGTTTGTTGATCTCTTTGTAGGTTCTGGTTATTAAACCTTTATCTGTTGCATAAGTCACATTTTTTTTTCCCATGCTGTTGATTGCCTCTTCACTTTCCTGACTGTTTCTTTTGCAGTACAGACACTTCTCAATTTGATGTAATCCCAATTGTTAATTTTGGATTTAACTACCTGTGTTATTGGGGTATTTTCCAAGACATCTTTGCCTGTGCCTATATTTTGTTGATACAGGGAAGAGCTCTCTCTATTCCTTAAGCCCTCAGACACTGCCTCCCAGGGTATATAGTAGCAAGA